TGATGGCAGAGCGGTTAAGGCATCTTGCTGTGGTTCCATCAGCCTATGTCTGAGCCCACTAAAGACCTGTGCCAAAGGCTGCTCCCAGCTGTAAATGGGTCCCAGGTCATTCAGGTCAGGGACTGAAAGGTAGCCAGGTGTAATGTTAACCCCATCACTCCTTTGTGTGTCAGTGGCTATAGAACCTGGTGTCCAATAGACTGGTGAGTCGGGCAGACCCTTAATTCTTTTCGATGGTCTCTAAGGACTACCCCTGCTCTATAATCAAATAGCACTGAGTGATTTCTTTTGTTTCCTGAAGTAAGTATATTAGGGCTTTAGCCCTGGAAAATGTGCTGGGGATGCTCCCATCAAAGTCAATGGTGCTACTCCCAGCAGGTGAAGTAAAGTATGCATGAAGTCTTTGGTAGCGGTAGGGTCTTAATTATCTTCAGAAGCCAAGCAAGAGTGTCGCAGGTGACTCTTATCCTCTGTTTCTGGGTCTGAGTCACAGTCTGCTCACTTATATTCTCCCGCCATGCCTCGATGGAAAAGAAACAGGGAAGCTAATTGTTGGAAACTGAAATAACACGAGACTGCGATCACTTCCCACAGATGGAGTCTCTTCACAGGGCTCTGCCTCCCCTATACCCTGTCCTCGCCTCCCCTATACCCTGTCCTCACCACCCCGTATGGTGGACATAAGATTTTTCCACAACACCTGCACTTTGAGTAATCAGCTAGGGAGAAGATCCTGGCCAACCAGCCCCATGCCCTCTCAGGATCCACACTTTCTTTCACAAATTCAAAGTCCAGATAACTGCTTACTGTGAGCCTCCCTACCAGCACCCCTTTTCTCCCCAGTCAGCTCTGGTAAAATACTTCATAGGGGTCTCTGGGATCAAATCTTATAAGCAGTCTTACCACAAGTCCAACATCCTGACCCTGGGACTACTGGTCACAGTTCCTTATGCTGGCTATCCTCCACCAGCTGTCTGCTATCCTGACCCCAATGTTCCTTTAGCCCGATGTCTTCCTCCAACAAGCATCCATCCTTAAACTGCATAGCCCCAAGGCCCTTATTCACTGCTGTTAGGCCTATTTCTGTTCCTCTGCACAGGTCCACATCACTCCTGACTAGGAGATAGTACTCTCTACCTCTCCAGGGAAGAGCATGCATTTGCCCTCATACCTTTAAATGAGCCAGCTCCTGTGCTGTTCAGTTGCTGTTGGCTCCTTGTACCACATGATTCTCGGTAGCTGGGAGATCTTCCACTCTGAGCTTCAGATATTTCTAGGTTAACCCCAGATCATTTCTCATGGCTGCCGTGCACAGCTGCAAACCCTCTCAAGTTGGCAAGTGGGTCAGGCTGGCTCCTAAGGCTGTCCTACTTATCCTAAGAAAGGGATCAATTCTCCATGGCCCATGGTAAGTTTCCCAGTGAGGAAAATGGGGTCTTGGTGCCAATTTATGGCCCAGAAAGCAACGAGCCCAGTCATCACTACGCTCCCGCATATAATGGGGTCTGGGAAACCGCTTTCTATTACAAAGAGCATATTTAAAAAAGAATACTTCAACCAGGATAGCTAATGAGTCTAGAAGAGATGGAAGCGATTGCATAGAATAAGAGGAAGAAGCTATTAATCAATCAACTTGTAACTTAGCCATAGATTTTACAAGTCTGAAATTACTAGTTGCAAAGATTAGGCAGATGAACAATGTGGAGGTGTAGGATGGCCTTAGCCGAGTATCTAATTTGCATGCAAATGGGATCACACAAATTATCTTAATTACCTTCCTCCAATGGAAATTAATTCTGTGTCTGCTTATTCACCAGCAAAGGAGGAAATTCAGAGATTTATATACACAAAATGACCATGTGAGGAATCATATGCTACTGGCATCAAGTTGAAAACTAAATGATGAATCTCTCAGTGGCTACATCATTTGCTGTTGTATTATCAACAAATAAGCGAGCTAGTGGGATTTTCAAGTAAAATTGGGTGTTTCAACCCCATTGCAATTCATATCCCTTGCAAGTTTAAAGGGGTTTTGGTACCAAAGGGATCTAGGCTCTCTTGGAAGAAAATGTCTGTGTAATAAGAAAGTATGCTGAATACCTGCTGTTATTTCTGACACCTCTGGTGCATACAGAGCCTGATTCTAATTCTTATTCTTCTCAAAGCAATCTGAGTTCTACCGTTGACTGAAGCAGGTTTAGACAAATGTTGGACACATACAATCCATTATTAGATCCAAAAAAATAGTGTTTGCCAACTTTAAATACAAATCTAGAATTGCATCTCTTCAGATTATAAGTGCTTGAAGGCTGAGTCCTGATCCTGACCAAGGCTTTAGGGCACATGCTGAGCCTAAATATATCATAAGAAAGTGTCTAATGTAAAGCAGAAAGAACAGAATTGAAGAACATTCTTGAATGTTGTCACTTTTTACTAAGGTACCTACCATAAATTCATTGGTTAGAATATTTACAGGAAGTAAGTACAAAGTAGGCACAAATACCAATATCTATCAATATGTTCAAACCCGTTGTTAGCCCAAAAGTGCATTACTACCCATATTACATGCTTATTGCATTGCAGTGGGATGGCACATAGTGAAGGTACATCGTACACGAGCATAAAATCATAGGAAAACAGGTCTGGAAGGGACCTGAACAGGTCTAACTAAACCCCCTATTCAAGGCAGGGCTATCCCCATATAAATCATCCCTTATGTATCTGAAAGAATATAGAACAACAAGTGTGGACTGTCCGAAGCGGGAGGGTGGGTGGGGGAAGAATTGTGTCAAACGATGAAACCATGTCATAATCTCAAGGAGAAAAGAGGGTAAAGTTTAAGAATGTCATAAGTAGCATTAAGTTACAATTGGCCAATAGGCCCAAATAATTGCAGAATAGCACATAATTAGGGCTTATTAATCTCCGCTGAATATAATGGGTCACTGTGTGTACAAGTGAAAAAAAAGTACAGTGGTGGTCGTCAGCTGCTGTGATTAACCAAGACATGTGGTAACCAAGGTTTAGACATCTAGGATGTTTGTGGGGAAAAATATGACAAATAAATGTGTTATAGGCCACTGTTTCAGAAGTTCGTGTTTGCAGTGCAGACAGGCAGAGGGATCCTTAGCAATGTGCTCTCAAACTTACATAAGCCAAGTCTCCTTTTTGTTTTCACTGCTGGGTTATTGATTCAGAGGTGTGCATTTATTCTGATGTGCTTCCATATGCTTTTGATCTATACACTTCTTTTTCCTTCCAGACCATCTGTTGTTCTTGTGCTTCTTTCTACTCAGTTTTTGTTACGCTCCCATCTTGCAGTGTAATTCTTTCACAGTGTCTTCAGCACTGGACGTCTTATGAAGCTACATGTTGCAGTCAACATCAAAGCATAGCCATCAAATTCCTATTTGTTGTAAATGACGCCACAGTGGTTCTCTGCCAACTTCAGGGTATGGCATTGCCATTTCCATTACTGCTATAATTTTAAATAAATGAAAATAGAGGAAGGAATTGTCTCAACAAGCTGCACGTGAAAAGGTGGCAATGTGCCTTGCTTTCTCCAGCTTATTTCACATTTTTGCCAGGTAGAGGTGAGGGTAGGGGACAGTGTTTAGAGTTCAGATATTGCATTTGAGGCTGAATCGGAGGTGAATTTAGAGTCCAGGTTTGATGGTGTGGAAATCCAACAAGCTATTAGCCTAGCTCCTGGGATCAGCTGTTCTCACAAGACTGTTGCCAGCTCAGGCTGAAATCTTGTGAGACTGTCTACCTATCCTTGTGAGACTTGGGCTGCAATCAAACCAGAACTTATAAATCCCTCACTTTGGATCTGGACCAAATCACCAAAGACTGAAACAGGATCCACATCGTTTCCCACCACCTGAGATGTGTAAAGGCCCACAGTCAAAATTGTATTTTGGACTGTGTCTAATTTTAATTATAGCAGTCATCATGAATTCATAGCCTGTGGTCTCCAAAGGTCCTGCTTTCCCCATCTGAGTTAATGCAAGTCAACAGTAGCTGAGCAGCATTTAATGACGCCAGTTGTTACCACGATTGCTTTCCCACTGAGTGCTTTCACAAGGCTTATAAAATTATATTGTGCTGGCTACGGATAAAAATCACAAATGTTTACTATCATTATTGTTACACTGTATCTCTTTCTGCTGTTATGAATCTCAGATAAATGGATTTCAGTTATAAAAGAGGATGATGGTTCTTTTCAAGTGTCTGGAGGCTACTTTCAATAGAGTTTTTTACAGTAGAACAGCAATGGAAATATACTTCCTGTGCATGAACATGCAAAATGCTTTCTGCAGGATGCTACTTTAAAATGTAAGTTTGAAGAAAAAGACCCAGCAGCATTCAACATGATGGCTTACCCACTGTGATACATATTAATTGCTGTTCCTGAGAGTGATGAGACTTTGCTACTACATGATTTGCCTGAGAGAGAAAAAAAAATCTTAATAAGTCAGATATTATAAGGCAGTTATCTTAGTCACACTCTAAAAGCTTTCTCCCATTTAGTTTTTCTTATCATATTGTATCATAATGATGATCATTTTCCCTCTTGCATACTCTGTGCAGTGTCTGCTGTAGTTTATAACAAAGACTTTGAAAGTTTGTCTTTGAATTGTACTACTTTTCTGACCAAATATAGTAACTAATATTCTGTAGCTATTATGCCCTGCACCTGTGTGTTTGTGAGTATTTTAATAACACTCGACCTGCCTAAGCATTTAGTGCATGTTCCAAAGCACATTCATGCCAAATGGGACTCCTTACACTGAGTTTGAATCAGGCCATTAGACACCAGCATGATGTTTTGGAGCAAAGGAACAGTGAGTCCGAGTGACAGTTTGAGCCCTGCATCTGTGGGGAACTAGAAATATCAAGGAGTTGATCCCGCCTGTTTTGGAGAAGGGGTGGGGCTTGCATAATGCGTTTTAGTCCAGGGAGTTGGTTTGGATTCACTTTACAGTCTTGAAGGAAGTTGCCTACACTTCCAGTGCTGTATTCTTTATCTGCTGCTTCTGAAAGGGTAGGGAAGGAAAGGAAAAGACAGTCCTGCATCAAACGATGTATGGCTGAGAGCATCTTCAAATCCCCACATGGACCAGGTAAGTAACTAAACTTTGATTCAGTGTCTGGACAGATGAAGCTCCCTCTCTCCTTTGCTTCTCTATCCTTTGTAAGGCAAGCCCAGCATTTCTTTGCAAAAGCTATCAACCTTATCCAAAGCCAGTAGCCTGTCACTGGGTATTAAGATAGTCTCTTCTGTCAATCAACCTTTCGATCATAAAAAAAAAACTTTCTCATCTGTAGCAGCTGGTGGTGTGAATTCTTGCCACTGAGCACGGTAATGTGCTCAGTATTCCCCTTTAGTCCCTGGAAGCCCCCAATAGAAGTCCCTGAGAATTTGAAATAATAATCAAAGGATGTGTGACCATTTAGTATTGCAGACCCTAGGATCTACTGGAAATTGCTCACATTTCAGTTATGTGCAGTATATTTGATATTAAATGTATAATGTATATAGCTGTAAAATGTATGTAAATGTATAATGTATATAGCTGTAAAAAGATTTACCAGGTTGTTAAACAATTTTAATTTGCACTACTTTAACAGCAAATAAAAATAATTGCTGGTTTTGAGTATCCATTTCTACTTTAAAAAAAAAAGCAAAAATAAAACACGTAAGCTCAGTGAGTAAGAATTGTCAGGAGCTGATATTAAACCTAATATGATACCAACCTACACAGCAAAGGCCGCTGTTACCAACTTTGCTGTTCAGAGCATTCTGACTTTTCTTTTATTGATTGAAAGAGTGGTGTTGGGGGAGTCCGTGGAAACAACATAAAGGTACAAATTCTATTCTCTGCTACAACAGTAGAATTTTACTAACGTCACTGGACTTGCAGCCACGAACCCCATTTTTCCAGACCAAAGAAATTAGACAGTATTCGGCAAATCCATGTTAAGATACAGCTTTACTGGTTCTAAAAACTGCTTCTGTAGTCTAATTTTCTCACTGAATGAACTGCCTCTAAATCTGACTCTTTAGTTGGAGAGGTTTCAGATCTAGTAAGTTCTCTGGTTCTCCAGCTCTCGTCACTTTAGATATGAATGAACAAATGGAACAGTTGTCAAGGACACCAGTTGCAGGGAAAAAGCATGTTGCTTTTGTAGCAAATGCTGTGCAGCAAGGAAATGTTCTTTTACTGTGGCCAATCAGGAGAGAAGAATTGCAAATTTTGGGAATTGGTAGAGAGTACAGCATGGGCTCTCTGTTAAACAAGACAGTGGTTTTCAATCGTTTTTCATTTGCAGACCCCTAAAAATTTTTGAATGGAGGCACAGACCCTTTTGAATTGTAAATATGGGTATTCACATACTTTTGATTGATCGTAGTTATCTTTTGCGGACCCCTTAGACATAGTTTGTAGACCCACGGGGGTCTGCAGACCACAGGTTGAAAACCACTAAAATAAGACATTGATGATACTTGCTATAGATATTTAAGGCTTTTCTGTGTATCATAAAATTGCATATGTGCTTTTTCAGCAAAATAAAATTCTACTATTTTTTTTTTACTTGGCTCTAAGCTAGGGACAGACATTCAAAAAGCCTGAGCCTGAATTGATTCAATCTTTGCAGGTTAGTCTAACCTGCTTAGATTGAATCAGTTTGCAACTGTACAGACATTCCCTCTGGACTGAGGAAATGCACATGCCTGCAGTGGCTCAGACTAGAAACCAGGGGGTGCTAGAGCAGCCCTCTTTTCCCTTCAACAGTGCTGAGCTGGGGGGCAGGGGGCATAGCCAGGCCCTGGCAGGAAGCTCTGATTAGGGAGGGGTGTAAACCCCTACCCTGCCTGCATGGTCTCAGGCTTTTCCTTGCTCGCTTCTCCAGGGGTGGGAGTGTTGCCAGACCCCAGCCCTGGGCTAGCACTCTGAGGCAAAAGGGGGAGGGGGGGTGCAGTGCATGCACCTGTTGATGATATTGAACTTTTCAATCTTCCTCTCCCTGCTTCATACTGCAAACCTGACAGGCGAGGGAGCCAGCAGGGAGCTGATAACAGCATTTATCAGCCCATCAAGAAATCAAAAGCCTCTCTCATTAGTTCAAGCTCTTCTTAAACAGCTTTTTTCCAAGGAAGGGACAGAGGAACACTACCAGCTGACCTGTTGATTAGCTCCAAAAAGCCCTAAGTGGATACTGTTCCGTCTGCCTGTCCCAGTGAAATTGGAGACACACACAGAGCCACCTCTCAGCATTAGTTTGCATACTACATGTCTAGGGTCTGTGGGGCTGGGGTCCATGCTGTGGGAGAGGGGAGGGAGGCAGGGTGGACTCCTGCTGGAGCAGAGACCAGGCAGACCCTGCTGTGCCTGCAATCCCCACTGGAGCTCTGCCTAGGGAGAAGTCCGGAGCAGAGAGCCCAGCCCAACCCAGCCCTGGGCTGCAAAGCATCTGGAATGCTGGGGGACTCTGATTTTACTTTAACCAGGAAGGGGTCTGGGACAGACATTGCATAAACTGGTTTGACCCAAATCAGTTAAGTCTGATACTACATTCAACCAAGTTTATCTTAAACCAGTTTCAGCCATTTTGAAACTGGTTTATGTGTAATGTTTGTCCCTAGCCCTGGAGATAAGGGAGGGTGCAAGCTTTGTTTTACTTTGCTGCCAGCATATATGTAAATCCCACTCTTCTTCTTGGCTCACTGTTGAGGCATAGCTGAATGATAAAGGAATCTTCTTGGGACTTCTGGTTTTTAGAACACAAATTGGGCCTGTGATACAATTGTAGGAACATTTTCATAGCGTAGCTTCACTGGACATTGTTAAAACTTAAACTGTGTTATACAAAACATATGGGACTGATTCTGCTCTAAGTATGTACTGGCTTGGAGGTGTGGTATAAATGGTATAAGGCAGGCATTTGCAGCCTACAGTCTATGGGCCAACACTGGCCTGGCAAGCAATTGTATTTGACCTGCAAAGCCAGGATATCAGCAGCAATGAAGCAGGCATGCGGGGACAGAGGGCTGCTGGCTTGGAAGTGGTAGTCCACTTTTGGACCTGGCTCTGTTAATTCATCCCACCGTTTCTAAGAGATTGCCAACCCCTGATATCCATTAAAGTGGCATTCTGGCAGCTAGAGATCTCTTGAAATGTAGCATGATGCTATCCAGTAGCTATTTAATGATATATTTGTAGGTTGTAATGATTTATACCAGTCTCCTTGGGATAATGTATTTGTAGTAATTTCCTTTAGATAAATTAAGCTATTTAATAAGCCCCAATTAAATGACACTGTTGGGTACTAAGGTTTAGTCCTGCTTGATGTGCAAATCCACATTGAGAGAAAACACTAGAATTTACCCTTCCAAAGACTCTAATTGTGACACTCTTCAAAGTTGAATGATAAATTAACAGTCACAAAATAAACATATTTGAATGACTGTCAAGACAATATTAGTTCATTCATATGATTTTGTTTCAGTGCAGTGCTTTGTGTAGCTTGGGTATATGGGAATGTTTTTGTTTGGTTTTTTTAACCATAATTGCTTTATATCAGATTGCAATAGAGCATTTTTGTACTAATACCTTTCTGAGTGGAGTAAGCTGCTCTGTGCTCATCACAAAAATAGTGAATGTTTTAGGAGTTAAGAGTCGTGTCAATAGACTGTCTTTGATTATAAGACTTATAATACGGACTTATTTTCCTATCCCACTTAAGGAGGCTGAAGGTACTGCTCTCAAATACCAAACATTTGGAATTTTAGAGCTGTCAAAGTGATTAGTCTTTAGAGGAAATTGATGATTCACTGCAGAGGCATTGTAACTGGAGAAGGTTTTCATCCTAAACCTGGAGATAGTCCAGAGGTTTGAGACATTCTGGCCATCTTAGGACCTTTTGTCCATATTTATACCCTTGCATTATCACCCTTCTTTAGGCTGTTTCCCAGCTTTTCTTTTTTTACTCTTTTTTTTGTCTTCCCTTCATAAGAATAATTTAGAAAACTGATGGAAATGTTGAAGCTTCAGCTTAAATGATTTAAAACTTCAAATGGTTTTTCCTGGAATATTACCAAGGGTTTACATACCTGAGGAATATTAGAGAGAGCTCGCCAACATGTTGAATGCCAGTGAGATTTTGTATTGTATGCCAGCATAAAATATTTCTGGTTACTATGGTACCTATGGTTATATAACAAGAATTTGCTCCATGAAGCTAAGCTTGTTATAGGCAATGGTACCATGAGACAAAAAGAGGGAGTAATTCTGACACTTCTATTTGTATTATGTACAGAACCACTTCTATTTGCTTTTATTTTGAGGGGTAACTTAGCAAAGGGGCATCATCCCTTGCTGGGAATGTTCCTTCTTTTTCCATGTGAAAGGCACCAGGTGAAAAACTGAGTTCTGTTTGTCCTGGTTATATAGAAAAGTGGGAGAAATGAACCCACAAAGGTTATATCATTTCTCTGTCTCACGCTGTCAGGCTATGAGTGTATTTTGCCTATGGACTATATGTGTGTCTAATTTTATTTCTCTAAAGGACTTGTTTTTTTAAAGTATGTACGTACCCATTTTAGCTACACGATGCTATAGAACAGGAGTGTTGAAGATCTGGCCCACAAGCTGAATCCAGCTCCCAGTGCCGGCCCTGGGTCTCAGTTGACCCACAGTTGGCACTCGCCGGACAGAGCCCACTGGGACCCACCCTGCATGTGACACTCCTGCAAGGCCAGTCTGGGGATGTCTCCCGCATGTCAGATCCAGCAGGCATGGCATCTGCTCTATCTGGTATGGGACACAAGCCGCGCACAGCACCTGCTTCAGCCAGTCCAGAGCAGGTGGTGTGTGTGGTACAGTCCTGGACCAGCCATGGAGGGTTCTGGATCCAGCATGCAGGAGTGGGGAGGCCTGTGGGCTCAGTCTGGCCCATAAGGCTAACCCTATGGCATTCATCTGGCCTGTGAACTGGTCCCTCACCACTTATCTGGCCCCTGGGGCCAAATGACATTTGTCACTGCTGCTAAAGGAGAAAATTTCAGGTTGGCAGAAAGCAATTGCCCAAGCAGAAAGTTAGCCAAGACAGTAGGGCTGAG